TATTATTATCTTATCGTCTTTGCTCTATTCTTGTTAACACGAGAATGAGCAAAGAGGGGCAGCTGAAGATACTATTTTTTTTCTCCATTTTCTATTATTATTTATATTATTATTATTATTATTATTAAAATTATTATTACAAACGGGCCAAGTCTGGCCCAACCAGTAACCCAAATACAGTGGCCCAAACCTAAAGGCCCAAATATGTAACCCTAAACCCGTTTAGGGTTTATATCTAAGCCCCAGCCGCCATTAGCTATCCACTGTTGGATCTGGCATGATCCAACGGTCCAAGGACCTCCAGATGCAAACCCTAGGGTATGATACCCTAGGGCCACGTCCCAACCGCCGCTTTTGTTGTCTCCACCGCCACGTTCAACGCCGCTCAGCCGCTGCCACGAAGCCTCCAGAAGAATTGAAGAGAACCGTCCACGTTGAGGGCTACGTTGAGTCACCACCTACGGTTTGGTGACTCACCGAACTCCACCCTTAGGACCGGTCCGAGACAAGCACCGGTGATGCACCTGCAAAGAAAAAAACGGCAACCAACAGAAAAAAAACAACAAACAAGAAAAAAAACAAGCAAACCAGCAACCACAAACACCAAAATAAGCAAAGAGAAGAGCGAGAGAAACTTACCGGGGAAGACAACGCCTTGATCGGAGTCACCACCGGCCTCCAAACGTCACCAAAAACCTTCGAAAACCGAAGGTATTTTCCTAGATTTGCTCCGATCGGGAGCTATTTAAAAGAAAGGAACACCGGAACCGTCATTAGGACGGTCTGATCTACGTTGTGGTATAAAAATAAATTTTTCCGGTGGTGGCCGACGGTGAGAATTACGGCGGCAGACGGCTGCCGTCCAGTAGCCGGCTTCCCTCTGATGAGGGAAGCTAGAGAGAGACGAGAGAGAGTTTTAACTCTCTCTGTTTAGAGAGAGGAGAGAAATTGAGAAATGAGAGCTGGCCCTTCGGACCAGCCGATTATGGGACTTAAATAGCCCTTCCCAAACGACGTCGTTTTGGGGAGGGCTATTTGTGTAATTTTTAAATGTTAAACCCTGTTCGTAGTCCCTCTATTTTATATGTTTTACATTTTAGTCACTGAATCAAGTTTATGTTCCTTTTAATTTGGTCTATACATTTTATTTATTTATATTTTAGCCCTTAACTGTAATTATAAATATTTTAGATAAAATACGTATTTAGTCCATTAGTTTTAATAATTAATATTTTAGTCCCGAAGTATATATTTTTAAGTTATTTTAATTTGATATTCAAATTTTATATAATTTTATTTTAGTCACCAAATTAATAAATAAGGAAAATAGCATGTTTAAACCCTGTATTTTTAAATAATTAATTACGAATTAGGTATTTAATTTTATTAGATTATAATTTAGTCACTAATTTTAAATATGTTCATTTATTATAAAGTTTTACTGCTTTTAAATATATAGTTCTAATTTTATTTTTATTATTGATTATATATGTTTTAATTTTACTTGTTTATATTTTTATAATTATATAGTCATATAAATATATATATAATAAATAATAATTTATATTTTTTACATAAATTATTTTTATCATATTTTAATATTTATTTATTTTTCAATATCGAAGAAAAGGGCAGTCTTAATACAACTGGATGTCTTATTCTGGTATTTTAAAATTAAATATTATAAAAAATTATAATTTAATTTTATTTAAATTATTATATTGTTAATATTTATTAATATCGAAGAAAAGAGCTGTCTTAAGGTACCTAGAAGTCCTTTTCTGATATTTCTAAATAAATATTTTATTTATAAATATGTATAAATTAATATTTTTTTCTCATAATCACAATTTTGAAATAATAGGATTATAAATTAAATATATTTTGAATTTTTAAATTTCTAATAATAGAGACAATTTCTAATTAAAAAGTACCCAATTTGGGCGTTGTAGGGGTGCTAATCCTTCCCTAAATGTAACCGACCACAAATCCCTTTTTATTATTAAAAAGAACGAATTTTTGGTTAAAACGCATATCAGTTTATCTTTTAATCGATGTTTTCTTAAAAACTCTTTTAAAAGATGATTTTTAGGTATTCGACCTACCTAATCCAAAAGGCCGATGGCGACTCCCAAAATATTTTTTTAAAAAAATCAAAATCATTAATTTATTCACATCACTTTTCCCGCCAAGTAAAAATTCGTGCCCGGACAAAAATCGGTTACGACACGGACCATTGTCTCTTATCTTATGGTCAGGTTGTCAATATTACTATCGACTTCATCCCTAATTTTTTGACCTTCCTCTTACCGGCGATGACAATGAAAAATGCCCTTTTCCTCTCAAGATGTGCCTTCTAAACAATAGATACATCATTTTCTCCTTTAACAATCATTTTCTAAATCTCATCGTCTCCCATTGCATCCCTGCTCGAGGCACAAAATTCTCTATCGTTCGCAAGAGCGACTATTGGTGGATGTTTTACATCCAACATAGTCTTAAGCTTCACCTCGCTAATATGATCTTCAACGATATCGTAATTGTCATCAAATCAAAGGCTCGACCGAACCTTGTCTGAGATGTACCTTAGTCAGTTGTTTGAGCTTCTTGACATCGACACTTCTCACGAGCCCGACACGTATCCTTCCGATGAAATGACCATTGGTTGCGGCACCATTGCGAAGAAATGCTACACAGAGGAGTCCGAGGGATTCATGTATTGGGTCTATAGTCACCACGGAGTGCATATGGATGATGACCACAATGGAGATGAGTGTGTGGATGACGCTCATGACAATGACGTTGGCGAGGAGACCAAGAAAGCGACTTATGTAGACCTGACACCTCTCATGAATTTCTTTCAAGGTTTTGAGGAGAGGATGCTTTAGTCTTTTGATTCTCTCTAAGCCCATGTTGACTCCCGTTTTGATGCGATCGAGCGTCGTCAGGATGCTATTGAGGCTCGTATGATCGAGGAGTTTCAAACGGTCTAGCGTCAGCTTGACGGATTTCCATTCCCTCCATCATCACCATCTTAGTTCATGCATGCATATCATTTCATCTTTATTATTGGATTTTTAGACTTTGCCACATTTGAATATTTGACTTTGGATGTTTGATATTATGAACCTATGTCGATTTGATATTTCGGTGATTTTTATGTTGGATATTTGAATTTATATGTATTTGTTATTTTGTGATATTCATGCTTTTTGTACCTTAATGCTTATTCTTGATTCTAGCTTATTTTATTACTTTAACTCATTGTTTTATTATACTAACTTGTGAATTATTTTTTATATAATAAAAAGGGAGAAAATTAAATGTAAAATAAAAAATATTTTTCAAATTAAAATTGGAGTTTACTTTTTTTAAATTCATAAATCCTTTCATTATTTTTCTAAGGGGAACATTTTTCAAAAAGTTTTGTTATATCAAAAAGAGGGAGATTGTTGAATTAATATTTTGATATAACAATAAATTTTGGACTTAATCGAATTTATGAAAAAATTATCAAAACTAATTCATAGTCCAAATTAACTTGGAAATATGTTTTAAATGTTTTCCAACTTAGTCAAATCTTTTCAAAAATACTCAATCGTTTTCGTGCTTTAAAGTCAAGTTTCCAGGCTTTTGATATGGTCGATCCCTTTAACCAAAATATCAATCCCCTTGAAAAAAGATTGATCCCTTGGATCCCAGTAGGTTTGGGAATGATCCCTTTACAAAATGAATCTATCCCTCGAGGAAAAGGATCGATCCCTTCACCAAATCGATCCCTTCCCTTAAAGGATTGATCCCTTTTCTTGCAACGGTTGAATTATTTGAAAAATGATTGATCCCTTTCACAAAAGGATTGATCCATTGTGCGTTAAATGTTGTTTTTGATTGTATGTAACGGCTATAATGATCCCCAACGACTCTAAACAACTAGAATTAATTAAGAGTGTATAAATTGAAGGTCAAAGCTTCCCAAGGTCAACAAGAAACATATTGAAACAATCTACCAACTTCAAAATATTCATTTTTGCTTAATTTATTAAATTCTATGTTGTAAACACACGTGTGAGTTTCATTGTTTATTCTGTTCAAGTATGATTTGGGTGAGAGTTTAATTAGTGCAAACACATTTATCTTGTGACGTTTTCTCTTTGTTTGCTTTATTTGTAATTCCTCTTGTGGAAAGAGTGTAAACAAGGTTTTGAGGTATAAACTTTGTATTGTAGGTTGTTGTAAGGTTACACCTTGTCCTCAAAGGTAAGCAAATCTAGTGGATTTGAGAAATCTTTAGTATGGATGTTAAGGTAGTGGATCTAGACTTTGATTGAGAAAGTCGAATCACTCTAAATCGTTGTGCAAATTTTTTATTTTTCGATTGCTTCCACCAAAATTCTTAAAAAACCAATTTACCCCCTCTTGGAGTTATTCGGTTGATCGATAAAGCTAACAAACTCATTAATGTCTCGAGTCGAGCTCTAATTTGTGTTGGGTCAACTCGAATCAAGCTCGAGTTTGAGTTGAGTCAACTCGAGTCAATCTTTTATTGAATTTTGACCTAATCGAGTTCGATCTACTCGCGAGCTGCTTAACTCATCAAGCACTCCTACTCATAAGAAGCATTTTATATTGCATAAATATATATTTTCACATCTTAACTTGAATTCAAGATTCAATTTGATATTTTTGCATTTTGCTTTATGAAAGTTACCTCAAAGTAACTTTCAAATCAAATTGACACTGGAACCAAACTAATGCCCAAACTTTATTTCTAGATTCAAATTATATTTACCATTTTATATTTAAAAAATACTTATATTACAAGAACATATATAGCACACCATAAATATGCACTCCACTCATCTATTACTAAGTTTTTAAAGGGTTTATGTTTAATTGATACTCCAATTTCTTTATTAAAATTATATTTGTACTTTATGGATAAAACTAAAAAGGCAACACTAAATAAAACATATATTAATATACACTCCGCTCTATAAAAGAAAAGAAAATATGTTCCATGACGTTTCATGCTATACGTTATAGTAAGTTTAAAGAACAATACAATTTACGGTTTTCATAGCGTGTTACTGAACTATATTTACCAATTCAGTCTCACGGTTAGCCCTCATTTGTTAAGAGCAACCAGGATTAGGCCCTGGATCCATCATTGTATCCATTTGTGGTGGAGTAACTCTTTTTCGAATAAGCATTTCCACAGAGGGGCATGTTCTTTTCCGTCCACCCCTTGGCCTTGACCGAAACTGCTCATCGGAACCTATGAAGTCCCCCTGAACAAGAAACGGTTGTCAAAACCATTAATACTTGTCTAACATGAAGGATACCAGCACAAAATACACAACTTATAACAGCATTTAGTTACTGACAAGTAAATAACTTACTGGAACATAAACATGTTGCGCTGATTTCTCATGGTTATCTCTAACATGCTTGAACGCAAATCTCATACCACAACCAGAGAAGCTACATGCAAAAGGCTCGAGTTCTACATGCACAGCCTTGAAATGCTGACGCATATTTGATTTCTGTAATAGAGTATTTCAGTAAAGGGGAAAAAGGTTTACAATCGGAAAACGATTTTAGTAATCAAAACTTTCTTAGACCAAAATAATCACATTCAACTTCTGCTTAAATGTGTTAAAAGCATATTTGAGGTTCACAGCATCTTACAGTTGAAAATGTATGGAGGCAACCCTCAAAATCACACTTAATTTTTTCTGATGCGCCATCTGATTCATGTGATCGAAGATGCCGCTTGATGTTCTTCTTAAGCTGCTTTGCCCCACATACTTCACAATTAGTGTATTGGTGGTATGATCGTACATGATCCTTAAGGCATTGCTCAATAGTAAAATATTTCATGCAACTTGGTTCAGAACAGAAGGCTTCCACCGAATCCAGCTTAACTGTAATAGTAGTTACAACATCAATCATGCATGTAAATCGCAACTTCGTAATTAAGACGGCTTGCTTTCTTTTCTTTGCACTTTTTCTTTAAAAAGAATAATTAAATTAAGGTAAAATCTTATGATCTCACTCAAGTCATGACACTCACAAATCAGAAGCTTTAATATAATTTTGGGGAATGAAGAACAAACACAACTTACCATGAGAATCCTCATGTTTTCTCAGCTTTGATGCAAATTTGAACACCTTTCCACATCCTACTTCCAGACAGGCATACTGCTTCTGACTTCCAGGATCAAGGGAAGGTGAATCTTCAGCATGAAATTCTCTTACATGCCTTGTCGTGTTGCCTTGAAATGCAAATTCTTTGCTGCAGTTCTCAATTGGACAACTGAAAAGTTTTGCTTGGTGCCGAAGAAGGTGACGATTCAAGTGGTCTTTTCTCCTATAGCTTGCATGGCAATCATCAACTGAACAAACAAATGGCCTCTGCAACAAAAGAAAAAACAGTATTAGAAACTACTAGAATAAGTAGCAACCAACGATAATCCAAACATTTAAACCTAGAAATACCACACAGCGTGACTGAGGCTCACTTGATGAAGCTTCTCAGGAGGTCTCCCAACCTGATACTGGTCCATTCAAGTCATAACAATGTAGCCTCTTGCATGTTGGAGTTCTTTTTGTGGGATCCAATGCTTCACGCTATAACACCCATTGATATTGTCATAAATAGAAATGGCTCCTGCAAAAGTATCAATCTTTAATATACACGAACGCCCAAGAAAAACAAACTAGTCATAAATCATAAGCGGTATTAAAGTGAAAGGCAAAATAAAATAACAGATTATCCACCGCTCCCTTGGTTGTTTCCTTTGGCGCTTCTTTGGCTATCTAACACTTTTATCTTCAAAATTTATGTCATATATAGCAAAAGCCAAAAATCATGTTTTAAACTGTTTTTTGTTACCACGTTTGGTCAGTTAGATCACTGAACATTATTAAAAACCTGAATAAAACTAATTAATTGTAAAACAGTACCTCAAGAGAATGGCTTTGCAAGTGTTGCTTCAAATGAGCAGGCTTCCTGAAAGTAGCACCGCATTCTTGACATTCATTCAATGAGGAAATTTCCTCTTCTTCCTTTCCTCCATTATTTATCTTCTCCTGAATCAAACCCAATGTTGAAATGAATGTTTAGCATAAATCCATTTTTAAAAGGAGTAAGAAGAATCCACTGGCCGATTGCAAAAGAAAATTTGAATTGATAATCCAGAATCAAAGTAGGTACTGGGTGGTGGGTGAGGATGTGGGAGGTGATGAGAGACTTCTTAGATCTGCAAATTCCACAATGATAGCAGAAATAACGCCTTATGTCTTTGAAGATTGGTCCTGATTCTCTTTCTCCTTTTTCTTCATCCATCTGATTACACACTTGTTTTCCCCAGAAGAAATGCTTTCACTGGAAGTGATCATTGAGAATTACACAGGGATCACCAATTAGACATTCCAATCTCAAACACATACCAAAGCAAATTTGAGACACTTGAATGAAAAATAAGAAAACCAAGTGCTATTTCTAGGTTGGAGGGCTTCACTTCCAATCAAGCCAGATCCAAGACAAAGCAAAGCTTAAGATTGAGCTTGAGCTTGAGCTCAACTCCTAACTTTTGGCTTTAAGCTCAGTGAGCTCAATCTAAGCTTCACTCAAGAAAGATATCAAGCTAGGTCAATTGGACTTCTGATCTAGTAAACAACAAGTTCAATCAATAAGCTCAAGCTTGAACTGAATTTTGCTTTCATATACTAATAGTTTTATTAGATCAGATTTAATAAATAATGGTATGTATCAAGAATTTCTCGTAATAAAAAAATATAAACCAATCCACAACTTAAAAAATATATAAGTTTATTTGTTAGAAAACAAAATAAATACAACAATAGTGAGTACCATATAACACAAAATATCGACCAAATTAAAGTTATACTCCAATTTAACGTCGTTTAAAAAACAATTGTTTTTAGCTCATATAACAACAAAATAGAATGCTTGCCTTGGATATCTTCATCTGACTAAGTATGTGATTCAAAAACAACATAACAACAAATTCAACCTAATCCTGCAGATGCATGAACATAAGTAATTTGCAGTCGAACGTGTACAAATAATCAGTACCTTTAAGAAGCCCCACCAATTAATCTAAAATCCGCCTCTTATAGATCTGAAAACTCAGATGTCAAAATCCAAGGGAAATTTCACTCTCCAGCCTTTCGGAGGTTGAGCTGCGCATTCATGAGGAGCCAGTGAAAAGAGGCAGAAAATGTAGGAGGGGGGGGGGGGGGAAGGCAACTTCTAAAGTTGAAACCCTACTGTATGACTCTACGCCGTCGTTTTACTCTTCATAAAATAAGGGTAAAAGTACACTTTAAGTCACTGAACTATATTAAAACAACCATTAAATTTATTGAATTTTTGTAGTTTATTATGATTTCATTTTGAACATTTCATAATAATGTGCTCTCCATACTACTTAATTTAGCTGCGGCACGAGGTATGTTTGGCTTCCATCCTAAATACAAGAAGATAGGTCTAACTCACTTAATATTTGCGGATGATCTCTTTATCTTTTGTAAAGGAACTGTGGAATCTGTTATAGAAGTCATCAGTGTCCTAGATAAATTCTATGAAATGTCTGGACTACAGCTTAATGCGGCCAAATGTGAATTTTATGTTGTTGGTATCCCAATTAATAATGTAGAGACTATACACAGAATCACGGGCTTCACACATGGATACTTGCCTGTGAGATACTTAAGGGTTCCTCTAGTAACGAGAAAACTCTCTGAAAAGGATTGTGCAGTCCTCATTGAAAAAATCAAATCCAAACTCCATCACTGGTCAGGAAAACACTTATATGATGCAGGAAGACTCGAACTTATCAGAGCTGTATATTTAGTGTTGTTAACTACTGGTGCAAGCAGTTATTTCTACCCACATTCTATTATAAATAGGATCGAGTAACTCTGTTCTCGTTTTTATGGAAAGGTACTGACAAGGTTGCTACTGGAGCTAGAGTAACCTGGAGATTGATATGCCACTCGAAATCTGAAGGAGGGCTTGGCTTAAAGGACTTAAAAACATGGAACAAAGCGTGTATGATTCAGCTCATTAGAAATATTCTAGCATGAGAGGGTTCATTGTGGGTTGCTTGGGTCAAATCCTATGTGTTAAAAGATAAAGACTTCTGGCACACAGAAGGTAGAACTAATGCTAGTTGGAGCTTCAGAAAACTGCTAAACCTTAAAAGAGAAGTACAAACTATTTTTTCTACATGAGCAATGACGATTCGCGCTATATGGGATGAGATTAGAGTAAAGAGAGACAAAGTTAATTGTCATAATTTAATATGGTTTCCTCTACACATACCAAAACACAACATGATTGCTTGGATGGCTATCTTAGATAGACTACCAACTAGGAATAGGGTTCAACAAATGGGCATTATAACCGATAGCTTATGTGTTCTGTGCAATGAGGATCGGGAGACAAGAGACCCCTGTTCCTAGAATGTCCACTGATGGATTCCCTTTGGAAGGCCATTCTACATCTCTCCGAAATAAGGTCACTTTCTTTGTCCTGGAACAACTTGTTAGCAACAGCTTCTCATGCTTGGAAAGGCAAATCCCTACTTATCACTATTTTGAAACTTGCATGGTGTGCATTTCTCTATTCTCTATGGGAGGAACGAAACAGAAGGTTGTTCAAAGGAAACTCCAGAAATGCAACTGAAATTTTTAAAGCTATCGAGGAGATTTTCGGAATACAACTAAGAGGTCAGAATATTAATAGACTTGATAGTGTTAATATTACTCTTTGTAAGAATTGGTGTATTGAATAACTATACTCTATTTTGTGAATAGGTTGTTCATGATTTTAGATTGGTTTTCCATTGATGATTGTTTTGTAGCAGAACACTGCTCATTTGGGTAATAAAATTTTAATTATCAAAAAAAATAATTGTTCTATATATTTTTAATTTAATGATTATAATAATTATTTTAATCTAATTTTATAACATATGGTGTACTTTACTTAATAAATCATAATAATGACCCCAAATGATGTAACTTTTTTCTTATTACTTCATTTATCTCATTAAGACTATTCTTTATCAACTTTTAGTGATTGATTTTTATAACTTTAATCATAACTATTTTAAATATCCCAACTAGGGGTGTAAAAAACTGACCCGACCTGTAAAACTGACTGAAACCGACTTGAGTTAAAATTGTTTTTGACCTGCGCTGTGACGATCCGAAACCGACTTGAGTCGAAACTGGTGTTGACCTGAATCCGAGTTGGACCTGGAAATTATGGATCTGAACCCGACCTGCATCTGACCTGAGAACGACCTGAACCCGAATTGGACCAAAAATATGATACTCGAACCCGAACTGCATCCGACTGATATGAACCCGAACCCGAGATTGACCTGGTAAATATCTGGTATTACTCGACCTGTTTTCAACCTAACCTGTTTTTAAACTGACCTGTTTTTAACGTGACTTGTAAATAACCCGACTTGTTAATGACCTGATCTGATATTTACCTAACTTATATATTACCATTGACGAAATTATAAGATTTTAATAAAATTATGAGTTTTTTAGTTTATGATGTAATTAAAAAATTAATATGATTACTTTTTAAATGTTATATTAAAATATTTATTATGATAATTAAATTAATAAATAGACCTATTATATAAAATTATTTAATAAAATAATAAAATTATTTAAATGTAAATTAGATAAAACATGATTAATAATGAAAAGGAAAATTAATATAGTTTAAATTATATAAATTATATAGTTTAATTTATATAAAGAAAAAATAATATTAATAATGAAAGTATTTATTATGTAATATATATTAACGTTTTACATTAATATAAATAATTTTGGCAATACATTAGTTTACATAGACCCAATACATAAGTCCACTCTTTTATTACCAATATATATGCATTAGCGCTAGTCCATTTACATTAGGCTTTATGGTTTATTGTTTACTGTTTATGGTTTAAGGTTTAGGGTTTAAGGTTTCTATAAACTATATACTTTATTACTTTATATAGTTTATGCATAGTATTTCTATAAACTATATAAGTAATTTACTTTATATAGTTTTTTTATATATATACTATACATGGTTTATACATACATATTATATAAAATTATTTAATAAAATTATTAAAATGTAAATTATATAAAACATGATTAATTAGGTGTTAAATAATTAGTATGTCACATTGCATGTTATATGGTTCATAAATAGTAGTACATGCCATATTAATTTCATTTGCATAATTAGTATTTTAGTTGCATGTTAGGTTAATTCACATTAATAGATCATTTATTTTGTTGTTATGAATAAGTAATAATAAAACCAAAAAATAAGTCCATTTGCAATAGTGCTACTCCATTTACATTAGTTTACATAGGCTCAATACATAGGCCCACTCTTTTATTACAAATATATATGCATTAGTGCTAGTCCATTTATATTAGGGTTTAGTATTTATGGTTTAAAGTTTAGGGTTTATGATTTAAGGTTTAGGGTTTCTATAAAACTATATACTTTATTTCTTTATATAGTTTATGCATAGTATTTCTATAAACTATATAAGTAATTTACTTTATATAGTTTATATATATATATATATATGGTTTATACATACATGTACTATAAGTTACATATATAATTTAGGGTTAGGGTTTAGGGTTTAGGGTTTAGGGTTAAAGGTTTAGGGTTTTATAAACTATATACTTTATTACTTTATATAGTTTATGTATAGTGTTTCTATAATTAGGGGTGTAAACGAGCCGAGTCGAGCTCGAGTATTGCAGAGCTCAACTCGACTCGAAAACTCTGAAATAGAGCTCGACTCGACTCGAAAACTCGCGAGATTAAAATTTTTAAGCTCGACTCGAACTCGAAATCCTGAACTAAAGCTCGTGAGCAGCTCGAAAAGGCTCGAAATGAAAAAAAAATCTTAAACTTAACTAGATTGAAGTCTCAAACTCAAACTCGAACATGAACCTTAAATACATGAAAACCTTACTGTATTTTTTAAAAACAATCAACACATAAATGTTAATATTATTAATAATTTATTTTTAAAAAAGTAAAATCTTAATATATTATATTTTCGAGCTGCTCACGAGCTTTTCGAGTCGAGTATCAAGTAGCTCGTTTAAGCTCGTTAAGAATTTGAGTCGAGCTCGACTCGTGTACATTCGATCCGAGTATTTATCAAGCCTTGACCGAGTCGATCTCGAGTAGCTCGCGATCTGTCTCGTCTCATTTACAGCCCTATCTATAATATATATATATACTATACATGGTTTATACATACATATTATATAAAATTATTTAATAAAATTATTAAAATGTAAATTATATAAAACATGATTAATTAGGTGTTAAATAATTAGTATGTCACATTGCATATTATATGGTTCATAAATAGTAGTACATGCCATATTAATTTCATTTGCATAATTAGTATTTTGGTTGCATGTTAGGTTAATTCATATTAATAGATCATTTATTTTGTTGTTATGAATAAGTAATAATAAAACCAAAAAATAAGTCCATTTGCAATAGTGCTACTCCATTTACATTAGTTTATATAGGCCCAATACATAAGGCCACTCTTTTATTACAAATATATATGCATTAGTGTTAGTCCATTTATATTAGGTTTTAGTGTTTAGTGTTTATGGTTTAAAGTTTAGGATTTATGATTTAAGGTTTAGGGTTTCTATAAAACTATATACTTTATTACTTTATATAGTTTATGCATAGTATTTCTATAAACTATATAAGTAATTTACTTTATATAGTTTATATATATATATATGGTTTATACATACATGTACTATAAGTTATATATATAGTTCAGGGTTTAAGGTTTAAGGTTAAAGGTTTAGGGTTTAGTTTTTTTATAAACTATATACTTTATTACTTTATATAGTTTATGCATAGTGTTTCTATAATATATATATAATTTATAGATTACTTATATTAGTTATACATATATATATATATATATTATATTAATATAAATTACAATTTATAAACTATATATTTTATATAGTTTATACACACGCACGCACGCACGCACGCACGCACGCACGCACGCACGCACGCACGCACGCACGCACGCACGCACGCACAAACACAAACATACATACATACATACATACATACATACATACATACATACATACATTTAAATTATTT